CCTTTCCCAGATGGGGCTGATCTTTCAGCCTGGAATCATGAATGAAAAAGGCAGCACGGACAGACTTTAGTTAATAATAATGGATCAACTGTAATAAATGTGCAACACAAACGCAAGATGATAATAATAGGGGAACTGGGGAGGGAAGGTATGGAAGAAGGGGGAATATGAAAATTGCCTGTACTTTCTGTTAACTTTTCTATAAACCTAAAACCTTTTTTTTTTTTTTTTTTTGCGATATGCGGGCCTGTCACTGTTGTGGCCTCTCCCGTTGTGGAGCACAGGCTCCGGACGTGCAGGCTCAGCGGCCATGGCTCACGGGCCCAGCCGCTCCGCGGCATGTGGGATCTTCCCGGATCGGGGCACGAACCTGTGTCCCCTGCATCGGCAGGTGGACTCTCAACCACTGCGCCACCAGGGAAGCCCTAAACCTAAAACTTCTTTAAAAAAATAAAGTCTATTAATTTTTTTGAAAAATGACATTGATGCAGATACCAAGCTGGAGAAGAGTCAGAGCCAATTAGCAGCCAACACACAGTATGAGCGAGAAATAAACCTTTGTTGTTCTAAGTCATTGAGATTTGGTGGTTGTTTGTATGGGGGCATAACCACAGCAAAAGCAAACTAAGAGAAGCCACAGGGGCCAGAGTAGACTGAACTTTGCACTTTCTGCAATGAGGACACAGGAATAAGTTTAAGCCATCAGTGCCATGATCAAATTTCTGTTTTATCCAAGTTCAACTGTATACTTTCAGTCAGTTAAACATGAACATGCATGTTTATCTCTGCTCCTTCCTAAATACCATCTGAGGTAACTATAAAGAATTTTGAAAAGGCAAAAACCTGAAGGAACAAAAAGAATAAAGAAGGAAACACAGTAGGCAAGAAAAGGAAATTCTGAATATGAAAAGAAGATGGAAATAACTATTTTAATAGAGCCAAGGAAGCTGAAATCTAAGGCCATGGAGGAAGCAAGTAAGAAACAAACCATTCATGCCACAGAATCCAAGCAAAGTCCAGGAATCAAAAACACCAGATTCCTCTAAAGAGGTGAATGTGTGAGGGGTAGGCCTGAAAAAATGGAGAAGTGACTGAATACTATTTATGAAGATCGGTCAGACTCCTACCTTCTCGTTGGGAGCAGCACTGTCCAATAAAAACATGACGTGAACCACATGTAATTTTACATTGTCTTGTAGTGACATTAAGAAGTAAAAAGATAGAAGTATCCAAAATATCCAAATATCCAAATAGGATCATTTCCACCTGATAGCAATATAAACATTATTGATGATGTATTTTACATTCTTTTTTCATACTAAGACTATAGAATTCATTGTGCATTTCACACTTACACCACATTTCAATGGGCTAGCCACATGTGGCTAGTGGCTACCATATTGGACAGCAAAGCTCTAGAGAAGGTGAACTTGAGGGCACAGACACAGCAGCTGAGGGAAGTTAGGGAGTTGTACTAAAAAGGGAAGTTGTACTAAAAATAGGTGTATTCAGTAAAAGTCCCATACTGAATGATGAGACCCAGGCCCACTGGGCTCTCCCTCCATTTCCCTCTGGCTCCAAGCCAATTTTTATGGTTTCTCCCATCCCCTAACTGACCATCAGAAGATGGGAGAATTCCTCTCTTGGAAAACTCTTCAGCCCAAGAAAAAAGGTCAAATGACAATGACATTTGGGGCTTCTCCCCCAGTGACACAAGAAAGGGCTACTTGGAGATCCAATTACTCTATAATGAGGGTTGACTTATCTAACCCACACAGGACTTTCAGTTAGCACTTTAGTCTTAAATATGAACAAACAGCAAAGGATCAGCAGACACTTTAGGAAAGTCACTCACACAAAAGAGACCAAAAGAAGCAGAAGCAAAATAGAACTAAGATGAAATAGATATGTCAGGGGGCAGAAGAAACTTACAAGACTAAGATCAATACTCTCAAGGACATGGGTATTGCATCCATGAAACAAAAGCAAGCTGTTGAGAAGAAACATTAAGAAAACAATGTACATTTGGAGAGGAGATTAGGAGATAAGAGATCAGACCAGGAGGCTGGATATCCAGACAATACAAATTTTACAAAGATAGAAGAGAAAATTTAACATGAAGAAATTATCAAAGAAATCATGCACAAAACTTCTCAAGTCAAAGAATCTATGTTTCCTGATTGGAATGCATCCTAATTACCTAGGAAAATAGACGAATAAAAAAGCCGCACCGACGCACATTGTCTTGATATTCCACACCACCAGAATTAAGGTGGGGAGAAACAAAACTTCCACACCAGGAATTGTCATATCCAAGCACGGGAAATCAGAAAATGAGCCAGAAAACAAGATTTTCAACATTCTAAAGGAAAACAGTCTAGTTTAGAATTTTATATGAGCCAAGCTATCAATCCAATGCGCAAATAGAATAATGCTATTTTCAGAGAGAAAAAAAATTTCAAAAACCTGCCTCTCTTTCTCAGGAAAGTACTGACAGATATGTTCCCCGCAATGGAGGAAATAAAAAAGAGGAATTCATAGGATTTAGAACACAGAGAATCAAATACATAAAAAAGGGAAAGTGCATGATGACAGCCGTGTAACAGGCCTGAAAAGCAACACGGCCAAGTTAGAGCAGGAGAGAAGAGGGCCGCAGGAGCAACAGATGAGGTAAAATAAAGGAAAATTGAAACTGATACATTGAATAATGTGCTTCAAAATATTAAGACAAAATTTATAGCACTCACAAAAAGTTGGGGGACTGATCATTTTCAGTACACAGGAAACAAGTAAACAAAACTGAAGAAACTTCACTTTAAAGAAACCCAAAAGTTACATACACACATCAAAGGAACTATAATCATAGTATACGTTGTGGCAATTGATTTAATAGCTCCTTTCCTCCTGCACACAAGAGAGCTCTCCTGGTTCAGACTTCCAAACTATCTCAAAATGCCTCGCCCCACCTTTCATTTGGATCTTGTTATTTTTTATTTGTTGTGTTCCCCACATTTTAGAATGTTCTTTCACTCAACTGTTACTTAGATTTCTTCTAGCTCCCCATATCCACTGCCATAGACCAGCTTACCCAGTTATGCTGGAATGCTTGTCCCAGCTCCCCAAACCGAAATTCTCTTCTATAAAGCATAACCAGCGTCTTTCGTCAAAATGAATTCCTCCATCTTCTGTGTTACCAAAGCTTTGTTCCTACTTACAGCGTTGTCCCAGTCAGCCTGGCATCATCTACTTCGGTCTCCCTCCCCGGAGACACTGCTCAAACAGGAATGGTGGAGTCTGCCTTTTTCTGAACGGGATACCACAATTTCTTTGGCACCTTGAGGTCAGTTTCTTAAAATGTCCCACGTGTTTCCATCATCTGTGCTCACTGCCTCTGGCCACCTACCTTCTTTCAGCTCTTTTCCATACTGTTCTGATCTGCCTCTCTTCTGACTCACTGCTCCCCTAATTGCCAAAACTTGTCTCTAGTCCCCATCGGAACTACCTTTCCATTCTACACAAACTTCCCTACATCTTCCCATTTCACCTCCTCAAACTGCCCCCTCCATCTTTCCTGGGGTCTTCTCCGTGCATACCTGTAGCATTGCATTTACCATTTAAAACTAAGATGACCTACGCATGCCTCTGTTTCATACATATGACTTTAAAGCTTTAATGCAAATCCAGGGTCCCAATAATCCAAAACAAAGTAGCCTCTCAATAAACATTTACTGATTTGCACAAATGTAGCATCACACAACTAGGTATTCGTAATTACAGATTGCCCAAAGACACCAGTCTCTTCATTTGCTTTCTCTACTACAAATTTCGCTGTTTTTCTATCTCCCTCTGTATTCCTTTCAGTTACCCATCCATCAGTACAAACACATTTCCTTGTGGTCAGGGAAGGGAAATAAAAGAATGAGAGGATGTTGACACCCCAACACTAAAAGAGGGAGATGGGTGGCTGGGAAAGTGTGTTGAGGGGAAAGGACAAGGGTATTTCACTGGGAAACAGAGTCCCAGTTAGAGAACCCTTCTGTGACGGCAAGAAAGAGAACAAGGACGTGATAAGGAAGAAGCAGTGATGGAGAACGTTGAAAAGGGTAGAGATAAGGGAGGCTGTTTAGTATAAGAACCAAAGAATAAGTGGGGAGAAAAGCAGGAAGAGAAAAAAGACAGAAAACCTCTGTATGTCTGTGTGATGTACATGCGTGGATTCCACAGGCAGCCAGACTCAAGAGCACCCCAGATTATACCAGCATGCAGAGCTGAACTTTGGTCTCTTTCATTTAATACCAGTGTACCTTGACACATTTTTGTACAGTCTTGCCATGGTCCATATGGGTCCCATGTGAACAGATCACTCTTCTCTTCCATGGGGATATTGAAGGAATAACGTACATCAGGGTTGTACAGATTACCCACACATAAAACCTCAATAAAAATACAAAGGAGCACACCATTAATTCATAAAAGATATACTCTTAAAAGACATAATTTTCATGTTTAATAATAAATGCAAAGCACTTAAGCATCATACTTTACTAACATGATTAAAACTGTCTTATTAACAACTACTGAGAATTTACCTGCAAAAGAAGTTCTTCTTCCAGCCGATCAGTACTATTAATTCTTTCAATCGAGTTGTTTGAACCACTGTATTCAAAAATAGCTCCTTGTACGTTGATTTCCTTTTTGGACATACTTACAACAAAATTCCCATTCAAAAGAAAATTCCCTTGAGTGTCCGATAATGCTGTAAAAGAATAGTACTCATGAAATAGCAAAACCAGTCAATGGTACAGAAGCATTTTTAACTTTTACAATTCACATCCTTTTTTTGAACTTAGAGAATATAAACATAAATTAATATGGAGGAAATAAACTTTATTTTACTGTAAAGTGGTATCTGAGCCATATGCAGGGAAACTTCAGCACATCAGCCAAAGACATGAAAATAAATTCACCCCATAATTTTTCCTTCTGAGAAGGTCATGTTCCACAAGGTGTGAAGCTCTGGGAGAGACACACAAGAAGTGGGAAACAGAAAGAAGTCATGCACGGGCCTGCAGACAGATCAGCTAAATCAATCCTGGTCATCCATGGTGAGGAAAGAAAGGGCAGCCAGACCGCTGCGGCATTCCGTTAATGCTTATCTTGGAAAAAAATGTACAAAGCTTCAACACTCTAGCATCAATGTTCTAAAAGGCCATATGCCTCTCCACTCCTCTCTCTGTAAACATCTGGATCTTCTTCATGGCAAGGCAATCATCACTGCTCACGCATACGTGAGTAACGGCTGCTTTTCAGAATCCTCCTACCTCCCTCTCTGTTCTTACCCCTTCTTATTCTCTCTTTTTCCCCAATGACAGGTATTAATATCAGCCTATCAAATATGTATCCGTATGTCTATCTATACACTAATATTTACATATGTATATAATAGAGTATGTAACAATATGTATTCACAATTTGTTACTTTTTAAATGCAAAAAGTACATGGTGTCCACAGTGATGTGGTAGCAAAAAGACCACAGAATTTGTTATTAGAACAACTGGTTTAAATTCAAGTTGTTCCAATTAATTACTATGTGATCTTGGATAAACTACTTGCTTCCTAATTGCATAACAGGAAAAATAAAAATTCTTACCTCACAGGCTTTTAATCGGAATCAAATTTGGAAAGTGTTTGTAAAAGTGTATAAACTGTAAAAAAGCACTGTGCTTTTTTTTTTAACTTTCAAGAGGATATATGATATTTTAAATTTTGCACTAATAAAAACTCCATATTAATAAAATACATTTTTGCTGCTTTACTTCTCAGTGGAATAACTGTTTTGGAAAACATTTGTTTGGTCTTCCAGCGAACCCCACCCAAAGCATACAAATTACCTGTGATTAAACTTACTAAATACTACACACCTCAAAGCAACCATGAAGGGATTACTGCCAAAGACATTTGGTGTTCCTGTGTCTGTATGGACTATTGTGATTGTCTTTATACATTACATTGAATTCAATGAAGAACAAATAAAGTTCCACATTTATCCTATAAAATGAAAATCTGGACATTATCAGAATTGGATAGGCCTATTTAAGGGACTACCAGTTACATTAAAACTAAGGGAAATAAACAAAACTTTACTGAGAAAAATTGTACACATTTCATTATTTTTAGTTACCAAAGCAAATTTCATAAATATAAATATTTTACAAGTCCTTTCTAATGACTTCACATGTTTATTTTGCTCACTCCAATTTAGATTTTGATATTTCCATTAGTAGTTCTTTTACAAAGTATAGTGATACTTTATTGGTGAACATTTCCAATTTTTAAACTTGGGCAGAACCAAAAATCTATATTTGGATCCTAAGAGCGACATATTAAATTGTCTACAATACGGTAGCATATATCTATGTATATGCAAAAGAAAAAGAATTGCAACTAAATGTAAAACGTTAAAACATTTACATTTGATTTTCTTTGGGAAATTTTTTGCTTTTTTTATAGAGGTGAAATTGACATAACATAGAATTAACCATTTTAAACTGAAGAACTTGATAGCACTTAGTACATTCACAATGTTGTATAACCACCGCCTCTACTTAGTTCTAAACCTTTTTCATCATCCCAAAAGGAAAACCTGCATGCATTCAGCAGTCGTTCTCTTTACAATTGACTCTATAATGCCAAATATAATTCTTGAGATAAGTTGTTCATTATATATTCAGATTTCAAGTTAGAAGAGTTGATTACTTGGGCCAATATTTCACATTTCATTAATGTGAAGCAGGTACTTTCTCATTATTAGCTTTGCATCACCAGTTCGGTGAATTATGAATTAGTCAATATTAAGGTATTTATCATATACAAAGAAAAGGTTTGTAAAGCATTCTTTTCATCTCTGGGCCTAAGTGAAATTCTTTAAGCCTAAAAGCTAATTTCCAAAAATAAACAACAACTGAAATTTATACTCTAGAATTAGCTAAAGGACAATACACTATAACTATACTCATTAACATCTAAAAATATGAAACCAAAGTTCTTTCTGCCTTTCTGTAACATAAGAGCTTTGTAAAAGTTGTATTTAAAGATTTTTGCTACATGGTAAAGACATTTAAGAAAATTCTTTAAAACATTTAACCCCAAAGAGGTCTATAATTAACTTTAGATAAAGATAGAAGGATAGAGGATTTTATTCTAAATACACACACAACTTTAACTCAATATAACGTCTGATTTTCTAAAACACCCTCATGGGAAAAAAAGTTTAATTTACTTTCCAGAATTTAGTTAAGGATTTTTAAGATAGGATATGGCGTGTAGCTCAAAAAGAAATCACGCATAGGGAGTCAGATGACTTAAGCTCAGTGTGAACTGAAATTGCATGTTTGTTCAAGGGTCTCTTCTTGCCTTCCAAGAATTTACAGCACCCACAGACCTCTGTGAAATTGCACACGAACCACATACTGGCTGCTGTTTAACTAAAAATGTTTACCCAGGTAATTGTCATCTTCTGGTTTTCCAGAATAGCTGTGCTGAAGAATATCAATGTTTGTTGCTCCTGGGGGAATCTTTACAACGACATTATAACCTGCAATAGAAGTTTACACATGTTAACTTTCACAAAAAGCAGAACGGCCAGGAGGCTAATACTGCTGAAAGAAAAATCTGAATAGCATAGCAGACTTAATTTCATTTTATCTTTGAAAGATGATATTGTGCTTATTCTTTTTGAATCAGTGCCTTATATAAATTACTAAGGATTAAGAAAAAGTGGTTGTTGTCTAGAAATACACAGTCTGGGATTCTTAAAGTACATTTCTTAATTTCTCTTACTTCTAAAATTCTGAATATAGAATAAGAATGAAACTAGTATTTTAGCTCCTGAACTATTTAGTACACATATTCATTTTAAAATTTGACCAGTACTTTTACATCTTATACTTCCTAATGGGGAAAAAAAATTCTAAATGCTATTCACAAGTCCAGGAGATATAAAAATAGTTGGTCATTGCTATATGTGTACACAGACTCAGTGAACAGCAAAATAATGAAAGTTAAAGAGAAACATTTTTCTTAAGCTTTTCGGTTCTAGTATAAGCAAGAATCCCTATAGACCCCCCAAATTTTACATTACTTTGTAAAGTCTACTAACAAATTGTCAAGAGAAAAGTAAAAAGTTTACTCAAGAGAAATGAAAATATTTCTGTTTTATGAGACCAAATTCAACAACACTGGCACTTCTCAAAAGATGAGGAAACACTATATCAAGTATACATTAAACAAGAAGCAACGTTTCTCCTGCACTAAAAACCACTCATGTCACAGTTTTCCAAATACTCTCAGGTTTTAAGTCAACAATTAATTTTGCTCTAGTGATATTATTCTAAGTTTTTCCTTTCCCTTTTTAGGATTTTCCTCTTTTATTTAATACATAAACAAAAGGAGTTAAAATTTTTCATATGTACTTGATAAATATAGAACGAACTTAAGAAAAGGAAGTTTTCAAAGAGCTTACGGTTGAAACGTTGATATGAGATTACCTTGCGTGTTTTTAGAGCAGCCTTATTTATTTATATCTCTTTAAGATATCACATTTAAACATAAAGTGATAAATGACCTGATGATTCTGTATACACTATATGAATATTGGGTGTAGGTTATAAGCCTACAAAAATAATTTTGACTCATGATTTTTTCACTATAAAATATCCCTACCAGCTCCACTATTTATGTCTTTGCTATTTTTTCAAGAAAGCGCTCCTAGGCATTGCAAATGTGACAAAATGAAGGCTACCACCAGGGGGCAGTAATGGGACAAACGCTATTCAGACCCTGCACATGAGTTTAAGATCTTTTTCCGTTTGCAAACTGATTAAGTCATAGTACAATTTTGTCAAGGTCAAATATATGATCATAATTTGGTGCATGTGGTTTTACACAGAAAAAAAAAAGTTTTTCAGTGAATACAGACCAGACTTTGATAAATGTGTGCCACTGGTTACAAAAGGGGATCAAATATTTACGGCTCCCGTGAAATAATGAATCATAATAACTAGAAAAATAATGCCAAATTATCTAGTAACTCAGATTCATAAGCACGACCAGAGTATGAAAGGTGCAATGCTTTTCATATAGATAAAAATATAAATTGTGTTCTAAATTATACTGCTTTAACTGAATTCTTACTAACTTAACTATGTTCAAAAATATGTGAATATAATTTAAAGCTGAACAATAAAGCTGTAATAAAAATACATTTTTATTTTTCAAGGAAAGTTTAAAAAGGCTGCTTTTTATTACCATAAAAAGAAAAAATGTTTTCTCAGAAAATTTAATGGAAAATGTCTGACATATTGTATTTTCATAATAATTTTGAAGAAAAATGAAACCGTGGCCAAACATCAATTATATCTGTAATCCAGATACTTCCCGAAAAATCAAATGTAACACTAATTCCAGATTAGCACTGAAGTTAACGGTTTCATCCTTCACCTTCAATCAGTTTCAATATATCATCAATATGAAACACAGTAGATAGGTCAGGTCACGCACGAAAAAATGTGGTTCAAATGATTAAAAATAATTGAAAGCGAATTTCCTGGAAAAAGTATAAATAAATACAATACAAATTATAGGAAGAGCAGTAAAAACATTTCTTTAACTGGGGGATTATTCACACACCATTGTCAAGCTGCACCACATTTACTCTAATAAATGCACCTAACAAATTTTTTAAGGAACAGATTTGTCTTAAAGCAGGTAAATTCATTAGTTCAATGATACATCTGGTATAAGATTTAATTAATCATTATGAACTAAGGTACAGAATAGAAACAATAACAAGCCATTACTGCACAGCTCACCATAATGGGCACTGTTGAAGGCGCCTGCCATTGTCCTGCATGAGGAGTTATCTCCACCACACACTCCACATCTGTCTCTCCTGGCCTTGGAGTTTAATACGTGATCACAGCCAGCTTGCTTCAAAATACAATAATTACAATGAACGTCATAAAAAGGACTAATGAAAAGCATGGTGCTTTATAAACAAAGTTCTTTTCAAAAATATTCTTTCAATTAATAGGAGATTCAATACAACAGGGTTTTTTCAGAATACTGATCTTGTTTGTACACCAGTATTTTCACACATCTGTTCACATGGTTGAAAAAGCAGTGTTTTTTAAAGGGTCATCCACATACCTCCTGCATCAAAATCACATGGCGTGGGATTTAAGAAGACAGATTCCCAGATTTTCTGAATTAAAATCTGTGGAGGTAAAAACCTAGGAATCCAGATTGTAACAAACACTGACAGTGATTCCCACATCCGTCATTTGAAAATCACTCTTTAAATACACGTAATTCAAAAAGGACAAAAAGTAACACATTACAATAACTCCAAAAAGATGTCTTTCATGTTTCACTTTTTTCACTCATGACCTTAGAACTCTGGGAATTAAATGAGCACGTTTGAAAGAAACAATTTACTTCTTTAAAATTAATACCTAGCATAATAAACAGTGATTATGAAAAAGAATGAATAAATAAATAAAGGTGAAAGTATACATGGTTTGTTCTAGGGCTTTGAAAGAACAAGTGCAGCTCTTATCCACATAGATGGTGTCCTCTGCATACATTGCAGTAACGTTTAGTTCTTTGGAATATTCCTTTAAATTTAGTGATCAGGAAAGTAAGAAAAATTCATAAGTCTCATGACTTTTTATTCACAAGGCAAATATTTCCAAATTGAAAATTTCATCCAGATATTTTCTGAAAGTAACATGCATCTTTATGTTCAGATACCTGTCATATTTTTTCATGGTATCTGACTTTCTGCTGTTAATTTAAATAAAACAAGTTTTTAAGGCCACCAAGTACCCTTTTGCTAGTATTTAATCTATTCCCAAAGTGTAATTTAAGTTTCTCTGAACATCTCTTTAGCCCTTTGGGTGCAAGACCTTTCTCACCTAGGTAACTAGTAATAGATGTTTGGTTATAGGGAGAAGAAATTGGTCCTATTAAGTTCCACTTAATGAAAGGAATGAGTTCACAAGATGACATTTGTATTCTTTAGACAGCATTCACTATCCTAGTTCTCATACTCACCATCCATTTTTAAGATCACCATCTGCAATTTGCATGCTTTGATTCAGGGGCTCATCTGCTCTCACCTAGAATCCTGCTAAATGGCCTACCTAACTCTAATTTCCTGACAACCCAGTACATTCTGAAGATTCTGACATGCAAATCGAATCACATCTCTTGCTTAACTCTAAATCCTTCTATTTCCAAGGACTTCAGGAAAAAATTTCATATAACAACCATCAGCTGGTAGCTACCTCCAACCCTGGCCCCTTACTTCTTCACCTTTCTAAACCTACTTACCCTGATAAATTAGCTCCAGACTCACACCCTCCAAGAGCATTCCCCAAATCCTTTACCCTCTGCCCCACAGAACAAGACACTCCTCCTACATCGTCCCCATGCCACCTTGCAGAAGAGCCCATAGCACTGCATTCTAATTGTGTGTGTGCCTATCTCCCCCACAAATCTGTGTCCACATTGGCGGTAGGTGCTCTGTTCCATTCTTTCATCTTGGTGACTAGAGCGGTATGTGACATCTAGCAGGTATTCGGTAAAAGTTTGCTGAATGTATGTAAGAAGTAAGAGAATGGAGAGAGGGAGGGATGATATCACTGCTTCCAACACTGAGGGGAAGAATGTAGACACAGAAGGGTCACATTCAAAGTAGCAAAAGGACTTTACAACCCTTGGGTCCTAATATGTTCTATCTTTTTAGGAAGCTGACCTCATCTTTCATCTTGATTTTAAGTGCCATAGGCAAAACAAAATCAGCAAACTCATCCTACTGCTTCATGAGTCACTCCTAGTGACGGAGAATGGCCTAGTAATAGGCAGCCCGGTAGCAACCAAGAATGCTGCACTGAATTCGCAAGAACGTATCTGAAGTCATAGAAGCAATATTTGGTTAGAGCTGTAGAAAGAAAATAGTACTCTGAAAGTCATTTTAAATGTAGTAAGTTTACTTACCCGACACAGACCTTGAACACAGATGTCATGTGTTTCAGTTCCACAAGGAGTACCATCGGCAACCCTGTCCTTCAACTGGTAGAAGTTAGTGGTTCCAGCCACCCGACAATACAGTTTACAACGATCTTTCATGGCAACTGTAAGAAAAAGTCAAATTCTGGGTGTACGATAACACAGCTATGTGTTCCTATGTCTCAAAAATTTTTACATTAAAAAAAAATTCTAATTACTTACTCCCACTATACTTTGGAAGCCACCTCACATTAGGGGACAGACCATGGATGTTGAAATGTTTACCATCAAAATCAGAGCACTGCTTCTCACGAAAGTCCTGCTTGCCTTTTGGACATGAATCAGTGTTACATGATCGAAATTTCATCCTGCGGCCCACACAGTACTTTCCTCCGTTTCTTGGCCTAGTCAAATTCATTACATTGTAAAGCACATCAGTACAAGATTATTTCTGCCATTTACTTCTAAAACCCTTCCATTCCTTTCCAGGATCTGGAAAACTACTGATGTCCCACTCACACTTTTGGTTTTTTTTTTTTTTTTTTTTT